AAATGTTTTATCAGAATACGAGTGTTTGACTGTATCAGATGCTAAATTAAGATTGAAATCCATATTCTGAATAGCTAGGCAGCTACATGAAAAGTTGAGTTCAGGTGGCAAATTTTGTAAAACGTTTAATGCAATTTGAAACTTTGCAGATGACCCAGCAGACCATTTTGGGGCCCAGAACCATTATATTGAAAAAAGCTGCATTTCCGATATTGAAAACCTTATTTATGCACAGCCAAATCGTCTCAGAACAGTATATTATGTAACGTCAGTCCCCCAACTATGCGCGCACGCACACTGGTTGGGCGCGAGATGTCTTCAGGTCCACCGAAAAAGTAGTAGTCAGGTCCACCGAAAGTTTAGAATGTAAAGTTCAACGCTATCAAAGTTATTCAGGACGATACACTATGTGTATATTGAGGTAATAGTAACAAACGTGACACAGTGTTACGATTAGCCGCTAGAAGTGTAAAAGGGGGGTTTGGGGGCCAGAATTTAAACATTCAAAGCCTTGGAAATTCACGTGTAAAGATTCTTGAATATGACCGTTGAAAAAAACCCAAGATCTGGTATAAAATCTAAACGAGTACTGTCGCTGGGACCCCAATACATAATTCATTTTATTTTTCTTGTTAGTTATTTTCATAATACCATGTTGAGAATGATTTATTTTTTCGTTTAAAGGTCTAGATATTATGTCTCTCATTATCTTCAACTAATTCTGCTAGGCGACAGCGTATAAACAATTACCCTTTTTTATGTATAATAAAGCACATTGGTTTACAGTGTTGCAACATATTGTTTTTCCTATGTACTTATTTTGATGTATTTTGTCACTGCACATTGGTATTTGCATATTATTTCACGTATTGAAAATTGTGTTAGGTATATGCTTATGATCCACTTTCATGACTCTTACTCGATTGAAATAATAATTTGTGATTGCGATCTTGTGCCTTTCTCATTTAGCCCGTTGTGTATATTTTTGCACACAGTTGTTGGGACAGCTACCTTGTTCTCCAGTATTTCGTGAAAGAGTCTTTTGCATTGTATTCTATAGTTTGTATTGTAGATTTGGTGCTGACTTATAGAGATGGGTTAGAATAGGAATTAAGTAATTAGGTTTGTAACCTAAACTGCAATATTGTGCATTTAGTTATATATGTATCAGATTAAATAAGGTGTGGAAGCGTTGTAGTCCAAACTATTTTAAATCACATGACCTCACACGACTACATACGATTGGACACAATATCACTTTACATGTTGAATGGAGTCAACGAAGCAAGTTCATTTTGGAACTTTGACTGGTTGTGCGCATGAGAAATTCAGCGTCTGTCAGGCTCAGCGTATCCAAACTCAAAAGGCAAGCTTCCCATTAGTGACTCAACAGAAGAATTCTTGACACCACAAATACTTGCTGATTGAAGTCAGCGAGTGTGTGCCATAGACCTTTAAGTCCCATGTGATCCTTTATTTCAGCGATTATTTTGTTTTTCTATATTATACATAAAAGCACCATTATATTCCGTCACACTTGTTTGTTGTTTTATTCAATGAACTTTTTGTAGGGATATCCTACATGGCGTAATAATAACAATGGACACGACTATTCAATAACGAAGTCACAAATTGTTGAGAGTGCTAGTCTTTCACCAATGCAAAAAACAAATTCAGCACATAAATATTGTTTCAGTGCCAAGCATTTGAAAAAGAAAAAGCGGAGTATTTTGTGAAAGTTCTGAACTTTTCACAATGAAAAATTTAATAAATCAAAAAAAAAATTATCATGAAGTGTAAAGATTTTTTGTGTTTTTATGGTAGCTTTGAAAGATTAGAAATCAAATCGTTGGAAAATATTTGCTGATAAGCAGCAGCAAGATAAAGGACAACGGAAAGTATAAGAGCGTCAAATAAAAACTCAAGTATGCATTTCAAAATAACAACATCAACAAAACTCGACTAACCCGATATCCGGATAACCCATAGCATTCTCCATCTGTGTTTCGTGCATGATTCTGCCTTGGTTTCCCTAATTTTTGCTCAACTTCCTTTTGATAATTTGGACGATTCACGAGTCTTCCTTCAACCGAACCTCTTATGATTCTGGAAAACTGACTAAGACTCATACAGCGAACTTATTCGTGATATGCTACGGATTTTCGCTACCTACTGGTCCTACGCTTAAGAGATTGCAGATAGGATTCTAGAAGCTATCAATCTTCATCTGCTGCATGAACGGCAAAGTTTTGAATTACGTATACTGTATGAAAACAAATGTAGTCTTCGTGTAAATTTACCTTTCTATGTAGCATGTAACAAATTTTCAATTGTTACTTGCAAATTCTCGAAAATGCACTGAAGTAATTTTGATAGTGGACTTTAACCTTAGAAGGAACGCAGGTATTTTTCCACCTGCATGAAACAATGATCTCATGTTCTTAAAACAATGATATCATCGATATATCCACGAAATATATGCTATTCCAATCTATTTTGCTATATATTTATAATACATTTGACCTTAATTACTGCGCCGATGCTATAAACCGGAAACAATACTAATATTGCTCGACCAAAATTTCTTCTATCAAAAACGAAACGAACTAGTTTCTGATTGGCCAAAAATAACCTTTCCGAAAAAGTGATAAATAAAGCTAGAGGATTTATCCACAAAACGGACAAATTCCAAAAGCCTTCAAATGGAATAACTTAACCCAAAATGTAAGGCGGAGAGAGAAAAGGAGGAGAAGGTAGGAAATTATAGGGGGCAATCCGCAAATATCCCATCCAAGGTACAGTTTATACTTTATGTCGTATCTTGTACTTTCTACACTTTGATTGTTGAGTTATCGTATGTTTATTTAAACGAAGCAATAAAAATTGACAGATTGTGAAAAGGTTGTTTAACCGTTATACCAAATTAACAGGATTCCCAATTGAACACATATAACTTCGGATTAATATATTGCTTTATATTGGAGTCCAGATTTTCGAAGTCTAATAAATACCTATCTATGGTCGTAAAGTAGTCAACAGGATATCGGATAAGTTCGCAGATATAAGACAATTCATAGCAGCAACACAACTTTCTACGTTACAAGCTGGGCAGGATATGTTTCAATCTTAATTTTGCATTTCATAAAGTTAAACTTATTATCCAGATTAAACATTCATTTAATGAGGGATAAATGTATTGTTGTTATAACTCTATATAGGGATCGAAAACAATAACCGTTTATTAAATGCACAAAATCTTTATTAATGGTGGATAAATGTATTTTTCTTAACACTGTATATATATAGCTAAAAGCATTTGCCGTTTATTAAATGAACAAAAGCTTGATATTAATATCTTCTTTTCTATGAATCATAAACATAGGCGTTTAACAATAGTTGAAATTGATAATGTTACTTGTTATTTCTTTTTTAAAATTTACTGGCATGCTGGAGCGAGCATGTAGAAGGGTAAAGCTCTACATTTTCCCATCCATTCTTCCACTTGGCGAAAGTATTGTGGACATAGAGAGCATCTTCAGCAGTCGACTTTGTACTCCCTTTGAACACTTGAACCACTCCTCCTATCAGTGTGTAAGGAAATTTAGCCAAAAATATGCTGTATTGTGATCCAATGCAGTAATTTAAGAGACAATAGCGTATCGTCAGGGACTATCGAATCTTGTATTTACTTCATTTACGGAATGCAACGCATTTAGATATTTCGTAACGGCGCTCAAAGTGAAGTATAAAACATGCTCTTATTTGTGAAAAAGGTTTTCTCAGTCTTCATTTATTTTACTATGAAAGAGATTATTTCAGAACAATTGTAATGTATCATTTTTCGGCATATTCAAGTTAATTGCATAATACAGAGACAAAATGGGAATTTTAAACACGAGCCATGTTTCTTTAAGTTTGTCTACCATTTTCTGAATACTTTTATGAACATCTACAAATTATCAAGTCCTTACCGTTGTCATTGCACCAAACATGAATGAGCATCTTTCCATCGCATGAATAAAAGGCATGATCCATATCCATGAATGAATTGAATTCTAAATTAAGTTCAAATTCATTTGTTTTAGTTTATTCTTTAAAAACACCACGTTCCGAATCGAGGGCTTGGGTTTTATCAGGTATTTCCGTATTTGCGATTAGTCTAGTAGTTGGTGAGAACAGCGATTTTTTAACAACATTAACAAAACAACAAAGCGATGCTCAAATATATGCACACAACGGCCAAAATTAAGTAGCATCAAATCTTTTACAGTACAGACAGTCTGACTGCCAGATCACTGCGAAGTGATCACGGAACAACGACACGGATTTTTTGGTGACGTGAAAAAAACGGAAACCATGGATGCCACAAAATTTTTTTGAAAGAAATAAAAAGAATAATTTAATATGGAAAAATACAATGTTTGACCATAAAAATTTTGAAGTCAGTGATTGAGTCAGTTGATGAGAAAAATGATTTTTTTCATAACAATGAGAAAAAAAATACCAAGAACAAAAACATTTTAACAAAACGATTCATATGTACATATTGTGTCCAATGACAAAGAATATACCTGGCTCGGCGGCAGCCTGCGTTAAGTACCTCGAGACGCTGGACTTCCCGCCGTCGAAGTGTGGTTCACGTAATAACTTGACGATAAGAATCGATGGGGCAAATTTCAACATTCACTTTTGTTGTTTTACCATATTTATTACAAAAGAAACGAATAAAACAGCCAGTGAAAACAGATGAAAAAATAACTTTCTAATTAAACGTAAATAACAGTCGCCCCAATGAACCTCTTAGGAACGATGTGTTGAAGAATTTTGCCGTCAAATACAGCTACGGCTTCGCCCACCTACCAATTTCAGACAATTGGAGAAGTGTTATCTAATGTAGGCCACTTTTAATCAAAAAAATGACACTGACATGTTCATCTTGATTTATATAGTGCATTTCTCAATTTCAATTAAAAAAAAATATGTTGGTTACTAAACACCACCTTCATTAGAATCCTCGGCGTTCCCTGTTTTCCTCACTTCAGCAATGAATTTGTCATGCAGTATCAGGTCTGACAAAAAGAGTTTTAAAATAAAATAATTTCCTATGATAATTTATAATACTGATTATTAGTATACACGACAAAACTAATTTTTTACATTGCATCATTTCCAAAAAATTCTTTCTCCACTGTATACTTCATGTATATATGTGTTGCATATGCGAAGGTATAAAAAAAATTATGAACAATTTTAGCAATATGAATAGAATAAGAACTCATTATTACCCGAGTGACGGGAAGAAAGATAAAGAGACAGATCAATCATGTAAAAAAGAGGGCGACAGTCAGTTAGCTTGACAATAGTTAAAATTTTGTCTATGCGCATTGTGCTATTGGAATATACAAAAACAAACAGCAATTACACAGCTATATATTGCTATACAATAGGTCAGGCCATGGATTTGATCATCAGCTACTGTATACTACTATTCAACTAGTCTACTACTATTCGTTATTTCCACCATATACTATCCTACTGCAAATTAGACCAGCGTGGTCCGAACCCAGGCCGGCGGGCGACATGTGGCCTCATTTCATTATCTGTGTCCCGTTTCACATTTGAGGGCGAATAACCAAAAATTTGCATTCCGTGTTGTTTTGTCATAAAAATGACCAGAAATTTTTTTTTGACATATAGTTACGTCACTGAATTTACTAGTGTTATGGCTAGCTAAGACAACCAGCAAAGTTGAAAAATGTGCTTGGCTTGTCTAGATTGGTAACTTTGGTCGGAAATATATGCTAACAAAATAGGCTTCATAGAAAAAAATAGGTTTCTTTGCAACCAGCCTAAACAATATTTCAAAAATGTCAGAAAATTAATCAATCTGCAATTATTTGTAAGTTATTTTGTAAACATGAGTTCGAAAATAAAACTGACCAATTCAAACAGATTTTGACTCGATATGGTAGGGGAAATACCACAATGCAAGTAGTGTCGGTGACAATCTAAAACGGTATTTTCTTTTTCACTTTCTACGTTATGAAGTGTTTGGAATCTTACACTAAATGTAGATGTAGTGTTTTTTGCATGTTTTAGCTTGATAAATGACAAATAATGATCAATGTGCTTGGACAATAAAAGTGTTTGCTTTGTATTGCACTGTTAACCTATTCTTGGCACTATTGTGGTCCGCGAACAATACAAAAATAATAGTCGACAACCTTGCATCACCCTGAACTAGACGACCAAGGTCGTTCATACCTTCACGAACTTCTTCCGATATGATTATTTTGTAGGTGCCTGTGTCTTTCTTTTGAAAAACGCCATCGAAAGAGGCGTGACCAAACGTTTCACTGAAATGTTAAAAATATTTCAAGTTGTGCGATTCAAATAGCTTACCATGCAAATATATATTATAATTTTCTTCAAGACTTCATCACATATTATCACTCTTAGTTATTTTCACTATGCATGATAAAATATATAACATAACAAAATAAGTCATTTATCGCTCCGGGGAGTTATGCTGCTACTATTTCGTGTTTGACTACTTTTGTTCAAATAAAGTAGACAAAGTCAAGGTACAGAACATTGAACTACAAATTATTTTAGAAAGACCCGTTCGAGTCTGTATAAACTCCGACCGCAGGAAATAATCTTATATTTCAAAACTTTTTCATGGATGTGCCATTATATTTGTTGTGCATATTCATATTATTGTTTACCACGCATATTGGTATAAAACGATTATAGTGGATACTAATATTGGATATGATATTTGCATTTCGTAATATGTATATCTTCATGTATCTTGCACACAATTACACACCATCAGAAATAGCTCAAGAATAATCACGTTTGGATTTGGCTGAAACTGAGAGTTAAATTATCCAATAGCCATATATTAGGAAAGATATTACAAATGTTAAGGATTAAGACAAACCATGTTTGGCAGCGTTCAAACAAGTTTGAAATTGATATATTTAAAGGTCTGTAGCGCCATACCATTGATATTAAAAAATTCTTTGTATGAATCACAACACTTGTAAATTTATAATAAAAGTTTGTCAAATTATAATGAACTTACGAGTAACTCGTAAAATTTATTTTCATTTGCTGTGTGTTGCATATAGGTCGTATATTCGTTAAAGTTCGGCATGATGTTACTTCGTCAAACGGATCCTTGCCGCCGAATACCTGGTATAACTTATTCGGCATCTGAACAGAAATACCAGACTTTAGTGAAACTGTAAAGATATTTTTGGCTGAAGATCTCGGTTTTGTTGGCATAATAATAAAAATTTGTGCTTGCTATGCACCTGTGCTAGATTGTCATACAGCTCACATTGCGTGCAAGTTTTCCGAGTTGAAAGAGAAGATGGACAGAAGATCTGGTAAAGTACTGGAAGCTGAACCAAAATTTTTGAAATCTGGTGACGCAGCTATGGTAAGACTTGTTCCAAGCAAACCAATGTGTGTCGAAGCGTTCAGGAATTATGCTCCGCTTGGTCGTTTCGCCGTCCGCGACATGCGACAGACTGTTTCTGTTGGAGTCATCAAGGAAACTACCAAAAAGACCGGGAATGTGAAAGAAACCAAGGCAGCAGCTAAGGTCAATAAAAAAGCTGGAGCCAAGAAGTGACTGAAAGCATCTGGCGCCCATCAACAGCTTAGCCCCAATGTGATAATTGATATTTTCAAAATATTTCACAAATTCAGAGAGCGAAAAACGTTGCCTGTTTTTGGTAACTTTCATTCCAAAAGATTTGCTAGGATATAGATAGTTTTTTTATCAAGCTGAACATTTGCTTTGCCAAAATATCGGTAGGTTTTTGAAATGTCCTTTTTGTACAGTGGACACTGACACCGCTTTGCGGTGTGCAAGACAAAGGTTCTATTGGGTGTTGGCCACAAATAAGTATTTATTTATCCCTATTATTCAATTGCCGTTTTCAATCATTTTTTTGCTTTAATTACGGTTTTGTTGGAAAATGCTGTAACAAAATGTTATTATCGCATGCGCTCCCTCAAGCGCACAAGACATTATTATGTAACACCGCATAAAAAACTTTCGCTAACCATATGCGGACCGGGGCGCCCGTAAATGATGAGGTGACGACTTGAAAGGGGACTTGCCGTATGCGTGGAAATTTCCCCCAAATGGGTTGGCAGACCATCGGAACTTAGTAAGTTTCAAGAAATAGTAGTGCGAGTCTGCGGCGAGTGTTGAATGCATGAGATGAATGAATCCGTTCGGGCATGGGAGAAAAATATCAATTATAATACCGGAACGCAAAGAACGTTGAAGATCTTGAGCAACACCAATTTATTATATCTACTTTACACTATGTCAAGTTGCTGTTATTTTAAAAAAACATTTCGAGGATTTGTCAAGAATAAAAGTAGCATGATCACGTTTTGCTGCAGGGTGTTCATATTTTTCTAAACGTTTCAAATCTTAATCAATATCTATGATAACAAACACTTGGCTGTACATGCATGCACATGATTTCATGCAAAAGGTATGCATATGACTTGAGTAATAAGTTGGCTATTTATTTGCATACGACTGGCAATGTATGCACTTTATTTGCTTTATATGCATATGAATTGGCTGTATATGCATATCATGTTATAAATGGCATCAGATTCGACCGATGAGTTTTATCCAATATACATGTATGTATCAAATTATCGGGTCCGTTACTTATTTTTTTTCTATTTTAAGCAGTGATTACCTTTATGCTAGTTTCAGCCACATTCATAAAAATCATTCATAACATTATTATCAAGGTTTTTGGTGTATAAACACGACTGGAATCTTGGATTTATATTCCTTCATTAACTTTTATTCTTTGTTTGTTTTTAAAATAAATTACTCACTTGCTCCCATGCTGTTTCACATGTTATCTCCGGCAATATACAAGTACTTGCACATGTCGTCATAGCGAAGGCAGAAACAATTGCAAGAAGGATAAACATCATGAAGCACTGATTTGCTTGAAGACTATACTCAGAATATTTACGTCGGTTCAAGCGGTCTCTCCTTCTCGAATGGAAAACGACTCAAATCGTTCTGATTATATAGTGTTTATACGTTTATTTTTGTGGACGAATACGGACGAATACGTAGACGGAAAATTTGGACGAGTCACAGGTCTTCCCTCAACCGAACCTCTTATGATTTTGGAAAACTGACTGAGATTCATACAGCGAACTTATTCGTGATATGCCACGGACTTATATATTTTTGCTACCCACTGGTCCTACGCTTAAGAGATTGCAGATAGGATTCTAGAAGCTATCCTCCTCGGTGCTCTGGACTTTTTTTGTCAACCATTAAGCCCTAAAGCTTCACTCATGACTTTTTAAAAGCGTGTGCTAGATTTCTGTTCAGCAATATATCTTTGAAACACACTCCTCAGAAAAAAAATATTTATGCAAAAAAATTTCTAAAAAAAAAATTGGACCTTGAGAAATTCTGTGTACAGTAGAGGGTTAATAATTAATTTATAATTATTTAATTTTTTCTTCAACGTTTTCCCAACATAACAATACCGAAACGACTGTTATAGCATAAATGGTTATTACTCTGGAATTCACAATTGTATTTACAGAATGATCATGTTCAACGCTTCAATTACCGATTTTGATGACGTCACAGCTCTTATTATTACTGCACAGACCACCCCCAAAGAAAAAAAATTAAATTTTGTCGACGAAAATGTGCGTAGAACGACGTAAACAATCCCATACGCGCAGTTACGCGTGAAAATTACCATTAATTTTACTTTTTTTTTTACATACAAAAAATCTCCATACCTCTGCCAACTATGGTGCAGTCGAAATCATATTTATCAAAACAACACAGCGCCAGGGATGATCAGGGATGGTATGTATGACTGAAAATACATGCTAAACCAATAACTAGAATTCGGTTGGAAACCGAAGACTTATCGATCGAAGGTTAGGGGATCCCCCAAAACAGTGGCCTTACTTCATAGTGACACCGTGTGTCCCATCACTAATTAATTAATAACTCGCTAATTATACGACATTATCCATCCAAAATCAATGGGCTTCTGATCCGAGCTATGATGAATGCACATGCAAAATCTGTAGCAGATCCAATCTCACTTTCGTGAGATATCGCGTGCATCTAACACACAGACATACAGACAAAAACCTATCAACATACTTACCGATCAAGATCGATAAGTAATATAAGTCATTATAAGGGAGTATTTCCTGTCTGAGCGGAGTCGACATTTTCAGACATTTGACAGGCGATTTTGAAATTCACGCTATATATACGATTCGCACTTGGCGTCACGGCTGGAAGGTTTTATCGCTTTTCTCATATCAGGTATTACGTCAATAAACAGCTAAGAGCGATATTAACAGTAGTTTACCGATCGCAAACGTAAATATGAATTTTATCTCATATGAGCTTACCAGTTGGAAGAGGTCTACGTCTGCTGCATGAACGGCAAAGTTTTAAAATACGTATACTGTATGAAAACAAATGTAGTCTTCGTGAAAATTTAACTTCCTTTGTAACTTTCAACAAAATTTCAATTGTTACTTGCAAATTATCGAATATGCACCGAATTAATTTTGATTGTGGACTTTGAAGGAACACAGGTATTTTTCCCACCTGCATAAAACAATGATCTCATGTTCTTAAAACAATGATATCATCGATATACCCACGAAATGTATGCTATTCCAATCTATAAAGATAGAGGATTTATCCACAAAACGGACAAATTCCAAAAGCCTTCAAATGGAATAACTTAACCCAAAATGTAAGGCGGAGAGAGAAAAGGGGAGGAAGGTAGGAAAATGATAGGGGGCAACCCGCAACTATCCCATCCAAGGTACAGTTTATATTTTATGTCGTATCTTGTACTTTCTACACTTTGATTGTTAAGTTATTGTTTGTTTATTTAAACGAAGCAATAAAAATTGACAGATTGTGAAAAGGTTATTTAACCGTTATACCAAATTAACAGGATTCCCAATTGAACACGTATAACTTCTGATTAATATATTGCTTTATATTGGAGTCCAGATTTTCGAAGTCTAATAAATACCCAAGGTCGTAAAGTAGTCAACAGGACTATCGGATAAGTTCGCAGATGGAAGACAATTCATAGCAGCAACACAACTTTCTACGTTACAAGCTGGGCAGGATATGTCTCAATCTGAATTTAGCATTTCATTAAAGCAAACTCATTATCCAGATTAAACATTCATTTCATGAGGGATAAATGTATTGTTGTTATAACCCTATATAAGGATGAAAAACAATAACCGTTTATTAAAGGCACGAAATCTTTATTAATAATATCTTCTTTTGTGCGAATCAAAAACGTAAGTTTTTCATAATAATTGAAATTAATATTGTTGCTCTTTCTCAAATTTATTTGCATGTAGAAGGGTAAAGCTCTTCATTTTCCCATCCATGCTTCCACTTGGCGAAAGTATTGTGAACATAGAGAGCATCTTCAGCAGTCGACTCGTATTTACTTCATCTTGTATTTACTTCATTTACCGAATACAATATATTGAGATATTTTTTAGCAGCGCTCAAAGTGAAGTTATAAAACATGCTCTCATCGGGTTTACGGGGCCTAGTTCGATGAAATTTTGCATAAAAATAATATTCGGCTACAATAGTCTTTGTTTGAAATTGAAAATTCAATGTATGACCAGCATGATTCAATGTTAAATCTATTGCTATTATATATCACCTTGAAAAATAGCAGCTATTGTATTGCTTTTTACATCGATTTTCATTAAACAAAAAGTGACGAGAAAATATCCCCATGCATCTTTTTTTCTCTTCCGGTATATTCAAGTTAATTGCATAATAGACGAGATAAAATTACAGTTTACTGAATGGAAATTTTGAAAACAATCTTTGTCCCTCAAGTTTGTCTACTTGAATACTTTCCTGATTATATACAAGTTGTCAAGCCCTTACCGTTTTCATTGCACCAAACATGAATGATCACATTTCCATCACATGAATAAAAGACATGGTTTATATCCACAAATGAATTGAATTCTATATTAAGTTCAAATGCATTTATTTTAGTTGAATTTTTTAAAACACCCTGTTTTAAAACAAGGACTTGTTTTTCATAGCAATATTCTCCGTATTGTTTTTTATTATTTATTGAAATACCCTTTGGAATGGGCAGTTATAAAATGGCTATGTCCCATATGTCCGCTATGTCCCTACTAAAATGACTATGTCCGCTATGTCCCTACTAAAATGGCTATGTCCCTACTAAAATGGCTATATCCCTACTAAAATGGCTATGTCCGCTATGTCCCTACTAAAATGGCGAAGTCCACTATGTCCCTACTAAAATGGCTATGACCGCTATGTCCCTACTAAAATGGCTATGTCCGCTATGTCCCTACTAAAATGGCTATGCCCGCTATGTTCCTACTGAAATGGCTATGTCCGCTATGTCCCTACTAAAATGGCTATGCCCGCTATGTTCCTACTAAAATGGCTATGTCCGCTATGTCCCTACTAAAATGGCTACGTCCGCTATGTCCCTACTAAAATGGCTATGCTCCCTATGTTCCTACTAAAATGGCTATGTCCGCTATGTCCCTACTAAAATGGCTATGTCCCATCTAAAATCGCAAAGCCGATATTTTCCTACTAAAATGACTATGTCCGCTATGTCCCTACTAAAATGGCTATGTCCGCTATGTCCCTACTAAATGCCGTTGTCTCCAAAATGTCGTGACCCACTTCTACCACGTGTCCCAAGTGTACCACATGTCCCATCACTTGTCCCAAGTGTACCACTTGCCCCACGTGTCCCACTTGCCCCACCTGTCCCACCTACCCCACGTGTCACACTTGTCCCACATGTCACACTTGTCCCACGTGTATCCCTTGTACCACGTGTCACACTTGTACCCCGTGTCCCACTTGTACTAAGTGTCCCATATGTCGCACCTGACACACGTGTTCAACTTGTACCACGTGCCCCACTTGTACCACATGTCCCATTTTTCGCTAATACCGCGTGCATTTTGCTTAAAAGATCGATTGTTTTGCTATTATGGTTGGCACTGGAATAAAAATAAATCAATTTTCATTAGATTTACCTTTTTATCCATTTCTTTTTATTGCTGTCGAAAGTTTCAGTGTTATCATTATACAAAGTTGTGAACGCAGCGAGGATTGAGAAGGTAAATTAAATATGATGATAAATTAATTAATCCAAACGACATTCATTGTTCTAAAATAGATTTTACGTCGTGAGATTATAACGATTACACCTTAAAAATATTCCGAGTGGCAGCATTGCGATTGAACGGATCGGTGTTATAGATTTCTCTACTGGCGATAACGAATTAACAAGATTAAATATAATTAGACAGTTTATCTCATGTGTTCATGTCCACATATTACATTTGTTTTTTAAGAGTAGCAAAGTATTTAAAAGTCGTCACGCGAGTTACGTTAGACACAATTAAGTTAATTACCATGGATTAAATATTATACGCCACAGAAAAGTCTCACTGAAAAAGTCGTTTTTTTAACGAGCGAATAATCACGGCTACTGTTTTATGAGGGAAACGAAATATATATCTGGTGAATGAAATGTATGAAAAACGGAATCATATGGACAAAGTATTTGGCAAATGAGATATATGTGGACAAAACTTCTGGACGAAATGCATATGAAGAACTGTCTTCTTCTGCTTCCGAATTCATTTCGATAAACTGTAATACTGGATCGATCTAACCTAATAGCTCCATCTAACCACGCGCAATTTAAAATATAGCTGTAACGATCAATCTTTCCCTTTTTAAATCATAATATTGTTATGGGTCATTTAACACCTATTATGACGTCACATAGATGTCACGTGACAAGAGCCCGCGTTTGACCGACTCAGACTCAAGGTCAGCCCGTTGTTTCAGGTTGCGCTTTGCATTTGGCAGCGCCGTTTTAGGTTAGGTTTTAGCTTAGAAAGTTTTAGGTTTCCGACTTTGCTATACC